AAAGCTCTACGGCTTTGGGTTCGTGCGGGAGGTGGAAGTCGCAATCCTAGCCATTGATTTCAATCAACGGTTCGGATTAAATCCTGCGAATCTAGAGGCCGTTTGATCTCAACCATCCGATTAATCATCCGAAGGCCACAGTTAATTCAACCGTTATCCAGTAAATCGCTAATGATTGCCTCGCCAATCATGACGCTCCGCGTGTAAAGCTCCGGCTGACTGGATAATTAGGAGTTAATTTCATAAAAAATCAAGGGGAACTTCAAAAATTAATATATCCCTGTACACTTGATCAAATTAGGTGTTCTTAGGCTCATTGGAAAGATCTCAGGGAGATCTTCAAAAACCTTATGGTTCTAGGCTCTAATTACATCTCTATAAAATTTAATTTAAGTTTGAATATTTTATCAATTATTGCATTTATTGATTAAATTGAATTCACCATAGCCTAGGACTTTGGGAGAATGAATTTGGACATGTCCAAATTTTATCTCCCCTGTTTGAAGTGTTTAAGGGCGTTATCATGCCAATTTTGGTTTAAGGGTCATGGTTTGACCCTAAAATTCAAATTGAAATCATGGTCTATCCAATAAGATATAGGATTTGATTTTGAAAGTAATGATGATGTGTAGCATAGGGAGTTTAGGGCCAGTGAATTTGCCCCAATTCAACCCTAGGATTTTTCTAAGGTGACTTAGGGATCACCTTAGGTGGTCTGGTTAGCCACCTTAGAGAATTCCATTTGAGCTCAAATTTGGTGTGTTTAGGCCCTGAGATCAGGTGATCTCATGGTCCAAATTTCACTGGATTTGGTGCCCATTTGGTCCACCAATTAGGAGCCAAAATATCTCCCCCTTAGAAATGACCTAGAGCTTAATTAATTCACTAAAAATTCTTGTTAATACTTAAATTCATCCAAAATACCTCTAATTGACCATAATTCAGCCCTTAATTTGTAATAATTGAAATCCCTTTAATTTGATATCAAACCCAACCTTAATTTAATTTTAAGTTAGAATCGATGTTTAATCAATTTTAAGTAGTTAAAAATCATTAAAAAATTCTCAAAAATTCTTTAAACACTTGCTGATCTCTCCTTAGATCATTTCTGATCTTTGGAGTAGATTTCAAGAAGTTTAGGACCCATTTGGGTTCAAATCATTAAAAAGGGCCCTTAATTAAGACAATTAAATAAATCCTTAAAATATAAAAATTTCTAAAATTCATAACTAATTGTAAAAAATTCCAATAAAGTCAAACTCAATGGCTAATGACTCTAATTAAAATACAGTTTTTTTTAAAAAATATCAAACACCCAAAATTTGGTCAACGTCAAAAAGTCAACAATTTGGTCAACTATAGGTAAAAATGGGGTCAAAACTTCTAAAAATTATAACTTTTCACAAAAACTCCAAATTAAGTGTGCTAACAATCCAACAACTCATAATAATGTCTAGTATTTATTAAAAATCTAAAACCTTCAATATTAACTTTAATTTTAAAAGTCAACTTTTAACCCCTTAATTAAGACATTTAGATAATTCCTAAATTTCATTAATTCTTTAAAACTCCAGAATTTTCTAATTTGGATAATAAAATGCTTAACCAACCTCTTAAAATTAGTAATTAATTCTTTTTAATATTAATTTATCCCTTAATTTCAACCAATTTAAATTAACTTAATCAACCTCAATTACTACTGGGTAACCCAAGCTTACGAGGCTATTAACTTAGCCCAAAGGAAGATGAAATAAGCTTCATGACCTCGGTGTGAAATAAAGGTTGTAATTATTTAACCCTTAAAATATAATTAAATAAAATTCTTAATATATTAATATTTAAATTCTAAACTAAATCTCTCCTTAAGCCTTAACAAACTCAGAACTTTAAATAACTATAACTAACTATCCAACTTAGGATCTACCCCAGCCACACAACCTTTTACACACACTTTAGATGATTTGCTAGGGCAACCGACTCTAGATCTAGGCTAGGTAGATGTTTACTTTCCTATTGTGTGCCAGATTTTTGGTGATTTTACTGCATGTTATGGATGATTATACTTGCTGTGTTTACTTATTTTTTACTGCACTCTGTGGATGATTGATGTATTTGGTGACTAGATTACCCTTAGGATAGAAGCGATCTAGATATTCACATAGTTTTTTATAGGTGGCCACACTCATGCAGGGCAATAAAAGGGGGATAAATAAATAAAAATTAATTATAAATTTACTTGTACATGTCCTTCAGCTGTTAAGCCCCTAAGAAATAAAGAGATCATAATAGTGTGTTTATTTATTTTTTTGGCACATATATAACTGTTTGGAAATATATTTTTGATTTATCATCTGCTTAGGATAACCCTATAGGAGAGTCTAGAATTTTATTTCATATTAAATATAATTTGTGCAAGAGTTAAGTATTGTGAAAGTGAAGTTTTGAGTTGGGATATATAGATCTTAAGGTTGGATTCCAAAGAGAAAAGGACACCCCTTAGGGGAGTAGCCCTTTTCTACTTGGAGATTCAAATTTGAATCACTAGTTCCTTACTCAAAGAGGAAAGAGTGGCCTTCCCCTTAAAGGAAGTGCCCTCTTATCCATTTAGGTAGCATACTCCGAAGAATCCAAGGAACCTAAAGAGAACAAGACTGAAAATCTAAAGACAAAGAGTATCCCACTCAAAACCACTTGTGTCTCTATTAGGTTTAGAATCCGGGTTATTGTCAGTGGTGCCTGACCACTTTACTTTCTGCAAGATCCTAGTTTGTAATAAGCAAGGCAATTTGCCTATGGATATTTAGTAATTAATTTATTTATATTTGATGTGTTGATATGATTACCTTTAGGATTACCTATTTTCCTAGTTTTTTTACGTTTACGTGCTGCTTTTGCTTTCGCTTGGATACGTGAAATTCGTAAGGGTGTGAAACTTTTATACTCATAATAAAAAAAAGTTTAAATTTTAGCGAGTCTAAATAACATAGAAAGATAACGAATATAGATAATTAGTTGGGGATCGACCCTGAGGTTGCATGCATATTTATGCATTTCTTCTCTCCTTATTTTAGACCCTTTCCCACCTTCGGGTAGAGTCCGAATAATCTGACCTATGAGGATGAGGTGCTGGACCTAGGGAAGCCAGACTTCTAAAAAATTATTTTCTAAGCCTATTTTTAGCTTTCAAGCATTCATGATTTGTAGTTATCGATTAGCATGCATCGCATTAGAAACATATTTTAAAGAGTCAAAATTTTAATTGCATTAGTCCTTGACATTTTTCATCCAACATAAGTCAAAGAGGTCAATTAGGAAAATCTCTAGATGTCTGCCTCAGCTCTCCAAAACCTTAAAAAAAACATCCCTACCACTCTTTCATAAAATGATCGGATTCATGTATTTTAAATCGATTAGGTGGTTAGCTGGCTCCCTAATCCAAGCCGGGGTAAGTCCAGATCTTGCATTGCATTAATTAGGTTCGGATGACTGTGACCAAGTGTCCAAATTTAGACTTAGGATCCGGGGCAGATCCTTGATTATAAGACCCCCAACCTTCGGGAATATAATCCCAAATTTTAAATAAAATACTCAACTTTAATTAAATCTCATTTCAATCCAAAATATAAAGCCTAACACTTAGATCAAGTTAGGATACTTCTGGATGATTTTGGAATCTCAAAGTGTCTCCCTACTTTTCTTCCCTTTATTCTATTAATAACTGCTCAATCTTGATCAATTCCCCTTTGTATTTTCAAAATTCACCTCTTTTTCATATCACACATAAAAAAAACTTTAACAAAATTTTGCCACTATTTTAATCGAGAATTTTCATAGGAGACTCTGTCTCCCTACGATGTAGTTAACTTCGAGGGCTTGCGCTCGTAAGAGATTTAGAACCACACACGCACCTGATTTTAAAAATTAAATTTTCAAAATTTATATTGGATTTCTTTGTGAAAGATTAAAGATGATCGTTATCATCGTATTCGATATCATCGTATTCGAAGAATTATCATTGAATGATATTTTCTCCCTTTGGAGAGATATATCTTTCCTTGATAAAACTTTGGATATGAACTCAACAATCACACTTCTTGATTATTGTAGCTGGATATTTAGTTTAACCTCATTTTGGTCCTTTGGGGCCATATGAAGTTCTCTTTAACATCCGGTCATAATATCCAAGATGAGATTCACAATTTTAAATCTGAATCCCGTCCTGAAATTCTATTTTCACTTTTCGAGGTGATATACCTTTTCTAACGGGACAATTTGATTTTAGAATTGTAATTTAACTTTAATTTTAAAATTCTCAAAGAAAACCAAACTTTTCAAAATCCTATTTTCAAAATTCCACAAAAAGTAATATTTACACCCAATGAAACAGAAAAAATAATTCTTGGAACTATCAAACAACCTATGTGTATTCATCATACATATTTATGCTTCGTTTGAGGCAAATTATTATTGTTTATTAAAGCAATTTTTAATTAAAAAAATTTAAATTTTATACTAAATTGTTTTTAAAGAAGCAGGAAGAAAGTCGTCCCAAACGAATCATTAGTTTACTAATAAATATTGAAAACACATGAATTAAAAAATCTTTCAACCAAATAGTCGCTCGGTTATAACAAAATAAAATGGACGATCGCAAACATAACCCTCAAAATTTAACTATTTATAAAACTAACACCATTTATATCTATTTTTTAAATTCTCAAATAGATATTAAAATTGACACATATTTTCCATTTTTATCAAATTTTAAATAGTAAAAAAAAGGGTAAGCATTATTAGCTTTAAATTAATTTAAATTTGAGTGTCATGTATGCAAATTTTTAAGATAAAAGATTGAATTTAAATAAAAAATATAGTTTTTAAAAGAGTTAGAATTTCAAATTTATTTAATAATGTGGACCGATATTTTTTTTTCTTTTAGTTTCTGTTCTTTTAGTTGGCGCGGTGAAAAAGGAAAACGACTGGCTCTCGGATGGCCGGCTCTTATTCCCCCATTCTTTTGTGGAGAGGAGAGCTCTTTTATTTTCCCTTTTCTCTCTCCCCTCGTTTACCTGTAAGCTTGCTATTTGCTTCCGTCTTCCTCTGGCTTCGTCGCGTCCATCCCTTGTCTTCTAGAAGCTGCAGCGGCTGACGCCCATCGACAGCGGCTGCTGGCCAATGGAGTTCGATGGGGGCGGTCGGCCAATGGAGTTCGATGGCGGGGGAGGGGTACAACTGCCACCCACGAGGTCGGCGAACTTAGCCGTGACCGAAGCGTCGGCGTCGTCCCCGCTTGCCACGTCTCTCGACGAAGGTCAGGGCTTCGCGCTCTAGGGTTCCCTTCCCTGTTCTAGAATCCGCTACTCGTCGTACAGTTGATCGATGCATTGCCGCATTATTTTTTCTCCTTTTTTTGGGTTGAGGCATGGGCGGGTGGCGATGTTTGAAAGAAGAGGAAATAATGATTGGATTATTCTGAGAATTTGGGTTGGTTTGGGTTATCGTCCGATATTGCATGCGGAATTCGGGAGTTGGAATTTTACCGCTATACTGTTCAATAACATTGGAAAATTCCCGAATTTTGTTTTGGTTTCAATAACTACTGACGCTTTATTTAAAAAAAAATTCCTTTTTTTAATGATCTTTCGTATCTTATGCTGTCTGGAGCTAGATGATGGTTACCACTCGGGCTAGACGTCGTAAAAGCCTCCACTTGTTGGCTGAGAGGTCTGTAATACTCAATTTTTAGTTGGTTTCGTAGTTGGTGGGCGTTTGTCTGGGCGAATTTTCCTTTAAAATTTTCTGTTTTTTCTCCATTTTCCCCTTCCACGACTTCTTTATTTTACTAAGTTATGGGCGAGATGATACTGATTGAATCCGCACTTAATCAATATAATATAATTTTGTCCTTATTCTCTAACACAAGTTATCATCTTCGAATCCTGCGATTGTCCTTATTCTCGTACGTAGTTTTGGCTAGTTTCTGAGAATGTGAACTTTTCCAATCTAAGCGTGTGAGTCTGTATCTAATGCGTGCATTTGGTGCTGATGCAGAATCGATGTGGCAAATGAGTTTGAGAGTAGGTGACAACATAGAGCCTGGACCTTTTCCAGAGCGTCCGGGAGAGGCTGACTGTGCTTATTATATCAGGACCGGCCTATGTAGATTCGGTATTACTTGCAGATTTAATCATCCTCCCAACAGGAAATTGGTAAATCGAGAGTCTTTTTAAATAATTTTGTTGAACTAATTCGCTTATGATCCGGTTTTATCTGATTTTGACTGTATTAATGGAGTTACTTGTTGCACTTTCATAAAATTTTTATTTTGTCGTTACTGTTGTTTTTCCTGAGTGAAATATTCTTGCAGCTGTGCGAAATCCTTGGTCCTTTGTATCCAACCATTAACTTTTCACACAGAAAAAAATGGTCCTGTTTAAATATGGTACATCTCAGGGCTGAGCGATACATGATTAATACTAATGTTGGTCATATGGTTTGCTTTTCTGATATGTATATATTAAGCACTGGAGTGACATGATGTGCAGGTATTTGTTAATTGGAATGCTTCTCTTGAGTTTGCATGATTTCCTAATTTCTAGGTTCCCTATGTTGTTGTGGTGTTTCATATTGCTTGGTTCTCATTAAATTGCTTTTCTAACTTTTACCGTAAGTTTTATCCTGTTTTGCAGGACAGTATACAACAACATCAAGCCTTTATCCCATTACTTGGGGTCGGCGCAGGACAGTATAAAAGTTATAAATTAGTTGTGTTGCTTGTCAGCAATGTTTTTATTTACCTGTCTTGTTTGTTTTTGATATTCTATCTTCTTTCATGTATGTTTGTTTTTTCCTATCAATAAATCTATATTTTTTTTTTTCTTAAGGTTTGCTTGTTTGTGGTCCTCTACATGAATTAAAATTATTGTAACTAAATGTTTCTCACTGTAGTTGCCAAGGAAGTTTGTCTTAGGGTATTTTGAAGAGTTTGCTGGAGTGTTTCCAAGATAGATTATTAACTATTTGATATGGAGGGGGGAGAGGAACAAAGATATTGGTCCAACCGAGCCTACAGCTAGGGCTGAATCAGCCCTTGGGTTGGGCGGAACTCTCAGTAGAATCAAGGGGGAGCTCGGCCCCCTTATGGGGCCCAAGAAAGCTATAGATCATTATGAAAGGAGGAATTAAGTGGAAGTTATTTAGAGAAGTTTTAATTAGAATTGAAGGAAATAATCAAATAATTCTAATTTTGAATTGAAATAGGAGAGAGAAATTAATTAAGGCAATAAGGGAATTAATTGATGCTTTAATTCCAATTTGAATTCAAAATAAGAAAGGGAATTAATTAAGCTAGTAAAGTTGTTTGAGAGGAAATATGAAGAGCTTATTTAAGGCCTTATTTTGTTATGAGATTAATTGGTATTTTGTTTCTTTGTAGTTTTTTTCTTGAGGGCTTCCTAACGACATCTAGGTTGATTGGGAGAGCCGAGCTAGCTTTAAAATAGTAGATCAATTTTTTCTTTCATTATTGTTGAAGTATTAATTAAAAAAATCAGCCTCTATCTTTGTGTTCCTCCACTTCTTCTTATTTATTGTGCTGTTTTCACTTCCAAATCGTATCAATTTGGTATCTTAGCACTTTTTTGGGACCTATGGAGGTAAAGATGGTGGATGTGTTGGAAGGCAAAGTGGAGCAAATCAAATCCCGGTTGGTAGAGAAGTTCTCAACCATCAAAGGAAGGCTTTCATCCATGGAATGAAAACTCTCATCCATAGAGAACTGCTTTGAAAACTTGGAGGATATGATAAAGAAAATGATCAAGATGCAGTCGAAAGCTTCACTGATGATTCCTAGGGTTGAACCAAAGAGAAAGAAAATTATGGATGAGATGATGAGAAAGCTCATGGAGATGCGATCCAAAATCCCCCCGGCAGTTCCAATTGCTAACTTTAACCAAGATTGATCGGGATTCCATTGGCTGAATCTAAGGGAAAAGTGATCGGACGGAAGGGGTTCTATAAGGAGAGTTTCTTCCATCAAGAGCCACCTTCTAGGACTTCGATAAAGGGTGGATCAGGATTTCCGGAAGGGGGGGACAACAATGAGGAAATTGTGTGGTGGAGGTGGTGGGGTGGTCAACTATTATGGGAGGCATTTCGAGCAAGGGGAGTGGATGGTGGGGATTGAGTTGAACCATAGGACCAGGTTATGCAAGAATGGATGAAATAAAGGTGGGAGTTCCACCCTCGATACATGGGGGAAACATGGAGGGATCATGACATCAGCTACACTGGAGGAGGAAGAAGTTATTGGGGCGGTGGCGATCCTAGGGTGAGGAAGTTGAGGATGCTAATATTTGAAGGGGATGGTGCATATAGGTAGGTGTGTCAGGTGTAAATGTATTTCATGGTGTAGGGCTATCTCTGGTGGGGAAAACCCTTGATTGGTTCCAATGGACGATAGCATGACCACTAATTGAGTAGCTGAAGAAAGTTATGACCGGCGTCCCATCCTTCTACCTTGAGGATAAGGTGCATCTTGAGGGGGGGGGGGGGATTGATACGACGGGGGGGGGGGTATTGATACAGCGAGAGAAGGGGAGCAGAGAGACTAATCCAACCCAGCTAGTTAGGGCTGAATCAACCCTTGAGCCCAACAAAGGTATTGATCATTACGAAAGGAGGAATTAAGGGAAAGTTATTTAGAGATGTTTTAATTAGAATTGAAGGAAAGTATTCTAATTTTGAATTGCAATAGGAGAGGAAAATTAATTAAGGCAATAATTAATTTCTGTTTTAATTCCAATTTGCATTCAAAATAAGAGAGAGGTTGAGTGAACCGCAGCAAATATTACTTTTAAATTTTTTTGCACTTCCATTTGTCTTCTACTTGGTGATGAAGATACGCTTACTTCTTATTAGATGCTTCTGGATGGTTGATTTGAGATTTCCCGGATTCTATTTTCTCAAGAGAAAAAAATTCTGTAAACATTGTGACTTTCCATTATGGAGCCGTTAAAGTCTTGAACTATGTTGGGAATGCATATCTCATCTAGCTAGATAGTGAATGCCCAATAGCCAGGCATTCAAAGTTCTTAAGAAACTAAGTTATATAGATTGGGTGGGTAGTAAACAATTTCACATCCTCCCTCAATGTTATAGGTTTGTTAAGATCATGATCGAGAATTTGATTAATAGTGGGTTTGAGAGTATTGTTGCATGAAGTTTTAGGTGTTATTGAGTTTGGATCAAATTCTTCGATTTGCTTTAGAAGTTTGGTTTCCTCTAACCCAATTTGGCCCTTCTTCATCCTTGTGTAAACATTTAACTCAGTTTGCCATATTGATTATGATTTTGTTATTGGGATCAAGAAGCATGATTAGGAGTTTGAGAAAAAAAAGGACTATATAATTGAAATTGAGGACTTGAGATAATTTTCATTTGCGAAATGAATGTTTCAATGGAAATATGTTCAAGTTGAGTATGACTCTCTATGTGTTCTAATGATTCCAAAATCGGTATTCATATTCATTGTTCTCCACTTGAATATCAAATTTAAGTAGAATGGTTGTTATTCGAAAAATCTAACATCCACTCAAATTGTAAATATTTTTTTGTAATAAGATAATAACAATTGTATCGCTTTTGATTTGGGGTATATCCCAAGAATATGCATTTAATGGCTTTGGGATTAAGCTTGCTCCAATTCTATTAGCGTACATGAACAAAGATTGAGGATCCCATTACTATTATAGAATGGTGGAGATGAGATGAGTCTTTGGATATTATTAAAGATGATTATGACATGGGTTTTGATATTTCTAGACTTAAGTGGGAATTTTATTTATGGTATATATTGTAGTGAGGATGGTTTCTCCCCAAAAAATGAAATATATGATATATCTAACTATCTATTGGTCATATATGGAAGTTGGATGCGAACAAATTGAAGTATATAGTCAGAGATAGAGCACTTTGTCTTGGTCATGGAGTGTGCTTTTCCAAACAACTCTAAGGTGCTTTCTTTGCTCTAGCAAATTTTCTTGCATGTGTCCCAAGTCCGTTTAGCCATCACATAAAGCTATAAATTTTCCCCAATATCATTGCTCATGGAGTTGAGCAATGACATTTGCAAGAGGATGTACCTTGATGTATGTTTTTTGCTGATGATATTCTTCTTGTTAATAAAACTAGATAGGGAGTTGATGGAAAACTTGAATTATGTAGGTCAACCTTAGAGTCTCAAGTTTTTATTTTGTGTAGATCTAAAATCAAATACATGGATTGTAACTTTAGTAATAATAGATCTAGTAGGGGGATTGTGACTTTAGTCGATCAAGTCATTAAAAAGAGTGCATGTTTTAGATATCTCATGCCTATTATTCAAATCAACGATGAAATAGATGAAGATGTTATTAGTAGAATTTAAGTTGGATGGTTGAAGTGAAGGAATGCATCGGGTTTGTTTTGTGATAGAAAAGTGCCCTGTAAATTTAAGGGAAAATTCTATATGATAGTGGTAAGCCTGCAATGTTTTATGACGCGGAATTTTGGCCATTAAAAGAAAAGCATAAAGTTAAGTGTTGTACAGATGAGAATGCTTAGGCAGTTGAGTGGTTTTACACTTAGAGATATAATGTGAAATGAGTATATACGTGAAAAGATTGGAGTAGCTCCTGTTGAAAATAAGATTAGAGAGAGTGACCTTAGATGTTTTGATCACATAAAGCGCAGGGCTTCCGATGGCCGGTTAGGAGAATATATGTATTAGATCCGGCCTATGTTAAGAAAGGTAGAGGTAGATCTAAACAAACTTGGTTAAGAAATATTAAAAATAATATTTTTATCATATTTAAATGAAAATTTGACTCTTAATAGAAAACAATGGAGAAAAAGGACTCATGTAGACGATCCCATAGTGGGATAAAGGCTTGTTGTTATTTTTGTTGTTGTGTCATTGTTTATGGAGTTAATGAGCAAACGACACCACAAAACAAGAAATTTTCTTCAAGATTATTTATTATGGACCGTTAATGGTTAAGATATCATCATATTGTAATATTATTCTTTGCCTACCTTTCTCTGAACTTTGTATCTTCCTTCTTGGGTGGGATTGGCTCTGATGGTATAATCATCATTTCCTTTTCCATATACGAACATCATTACAAATTTTGACTGTTGAAGGTATTTGTGCCCATTCATTTTTTCATGTAATGGGGAGAAGACTTCAATCTGATCGTTCATTTATGCTAGAGATTGCAGATTATTCATTGAGGTGGCTTTGAAGGACTTTGAAGGATGCAGAGGAGCTCTGTTTATTGGTGTAGAGAGAACAAAAAAAACACAAAGATAATGAGAACAAGTTAATATGAGGAGGCCACCAATCTTCACTAACATGAAAGCAATAATCTCAATATTTTAACTCAATTATTTTGTTCAGAATTGCATGAGACTTATATATATAGAACTACAACGAAGCAATGCTTGGAATACGCCTATTCTAACTCAATGCTTGGTATTCGTCACTTGACTTGAAAAATGGGGCCAACAACAATAACAACATCAAACCTTTATTCCACTACATTGGGTCAGCAACATGAATTCTTTTTTCTCCATTGTGTCCTATTAAGAGTCAAATTCTCATTTAAATCTAATAAAGAAAGGTCAGGGCCGTTTAAGGAAAATAGGAAGGAGAGTGGAAATCTGATGGAGTGCATGATAAAATCCACAAAGTAGAGGGGTTTATAAAGCCATTTATGAAAGGAGAGTGGCACTTAATCCAAATTAAATTTAATTCCACACAAGGAAGGGCTAGTAATACATTGAACCAATCCATCTTGCTTTAACTTTTGTGAATACTTGATGATGATGATGAAGTAGAAGAAGATAACATTCAAATTTGATGTATGTCTCTTGTTTGGGATTTGTACTGGTGATGGATATGCAGGCTGTGTTATGTCACTCTCTTTCTCACACGCGCTTTCACACATACACGTACACACACATATGCGTGCTATACATTTAATTATTTATGTTCCTAATTTCACGTTCAAGATAAAAAATGTTGATGTTGATCTATAATGTATGAACAATTTGATTATCTGATTTCAACATTTTTAATGAGGATTTAACTAGGTCAAATTTGATGAAGAAATGGGCAACTTGTAATGTCCTTCACTATAACTACTACTATATTATTTTGTTAAAGTCAACTTCATTGAAATTGTTTTGAGTTATTTTTATACGTGCTTGAAATATTTCATCTGTTTTGAGTTATCCTACATTATCTAATTAATGAATATTTTATCTCACTATCTGGATTGTCTGTTAGGGTATAATTTTTTTATGCTCAATGAATGATCAAATCATCTTAAATTTTCATGAAATTGGCACATATTACTTTTCATGATGAATTTTGAGCTAAATGATTTTGATTTTTTAATTGGATGTTGAATGATTGAAAAATAAGCCAAAACAAAATTACATGGAAAAATGTCTATTCATATAAAAGGATAATATTCTGTTCTTGTACGTAAGTTTTGGAGTCGAAAATAAATATTTTGAAGACTAGACTTTTTAGATTATTAGCTTGGCAGAGATGAAACGAATAATATATAAGTATCCATGCTTGGGAGTTGAATTTGTGTTGGCTGTGTGGAAGCTAGATAGAGAACATCGAAGTATAATTGGAGATAAAAAGTAAAATATGAGGAAGAGTGGATCGTTAAGTTTCTGAATTGCATCTCAACAAGTGTAGTTACATAGCTAGATCTGGAAAAAGACTAATATTGTATGCTAGGCTTGATTAGTTTTTTTTTTCTTACAATATAATCCCATTCTTTTATATTAGATAGATGGATTTCCATGAGGATTCGTTGGTCTTACATTCTTAGGGAACAATTGTGTAAATACTGCAGTTTTGCTCGTTTGGTCTTCCTCTTCCCCCTTGTCATCCTAATTTTTACGTGGGGGAACTAATACATTTTATGCCTTATTTATGGTGTGTCCTTCCATCTTTTTTGTTTATTAATTAGGTGGAATTGAGTTTCTAACTATGCATGTCAAGAATTATTTATTAAGTTTTGTATCTTTTCTTATTATTAATTATGTTGAAGTAGAATGCTTTACTGTAAGTATCCAGGTCCATAAATACCTAATTTTTTTTAGCTGTTTTAGTTTTCTACTCTTTCAAATTTCCGTATGAACTTTTATGACAAAGTTCTATAGAATTGATGGTCTTGATTAGGTCATGTTCAATGTCAGGCTGTGTCAAGGATGAAGGGTGGGTATCCTGAAAGAATAGGGCAACCCGAATGCCAGGTATCCACAATACCTCTCTTTTACTTTATTTTGATTTCTATTTGACAAGGGCATTGATTATAGTCTTTTATGTTCATACGCTTTTAGGCCTCTCATAGGCTAATGCAAAGAAAAATAATATGCAAGATGAGCTTCGCATGTGGCCTTGCATGCATTTTGTTATTTTTAAATTATTTTTCAAAGCAATTCTCAACATTTTGTCATCCTTCAGAAAGTATGAATATTCTTCTATATCAAGGAGATAAATGATCACTTATTTATTTATTTATTTATTTTTAAGTCTAGTCCTTATATATTATGGAAGGCATTCATATCAAGGCTCCACGTTCTCTATTTCTTGGAGCTTATTTGTTGCAGTGTGTTGAGCAAAGAAGTATGGACATAAGATATTTACGCGACAAGGACATGTTGATTCAACTTTGCTTTGAGAGTAGGATCCATTCATGTTTGTGATATGATAAATAGATTAGTAACATGAAAATAATGTTAAAATTTAGCTATAGTTGAGATTCTTGAAGATGGATAGAGATTTAGATTCTCTTGAATAAGAGTAGAGATTGTGAAATCATGTTAAAAGGGCTGATGAGGGTAGTAGCTATTGAAGAAAAGATAGTGGAAAATAGATTTTAGGTGATTTGGGCATGTGTAATGGAGTATAGAAGATGTGCCATTGATAGGGGTTGTAAATTCTTATGCAAATTCTAATAAATAAAAGATTGAGAAGATTGGATTTTGTGCAAAATAATGTTGCTAAAAGTGCAAAAATATTTGTTGAAAATAGAGTGCCTTACACTTAAGAGAAATGAAGGGAATGAAGATTCATCAAGTCGATCTCAAACATTTGTTATATTAAATTAATGATAATGATGAAAAGAATAAGAAGGGAAGATTGTGGGAGGGAAACATTTCAAGAGGTTCAATATAATTGTACTGGGAAAGGTTCATAATTTAAATAAGGATTTTGTAAGAGAAGTGACTGAGGAAGGAAGGAAATATAGAAAATAATAATAATATGTCCGTGAATTTGTTGAGCTTAGAATGTATTTATGTATGATAAGACACTGTGACTCTCTAGAAGTGTTTGTTTTTTGTTTTATATTGTGTGTTTGGCATGTTACTGTTGTTTCTGCAAAGTGCAAAGCCTCTGGGATTGTCAAGTAGATTTGAACATAGAGTGATTAAAAGTAAGCATAAGAGTTAAAATTGGATTGGTCTAGATATAAGTTGCTCAAAATCACAAGGGCTTTGACCGATTTATACGCTTAATGTATTCTCAGTTCTCAAGATTTGTATGTGAAGTATTCAAGCATGTTTTAAAAAAGAGGTTTTGAGAATAAAAAATGGTTACAATAAATATTTTGTCAGACACGATGCTTGGAGTATTTGAGTGCCTACAAAGGCTGCAACACCCCTTCTAGAAGTGTATATAATCCATTTGTTAAATTACAACTACAAGCCATGAAATGTTATATGAAAAATGGCTATTTTGTATGTACAAATCTGTCAGGATATGGTTCGCAACATCTTAAGCCTATTAGATGGGGTCGATGATCGACCATTATTCATGTTCATTCTTTTAGCATGTGTTTTTATAGATGACATTTGAGATGTGTTATAATTTAAGATGAGTTTTGAATGACTCGATATAAACTTGAGCATTCATCAACAAATTATAAAAAAGCAAAGATAAAATTTTCTTCTTTATCATAGCACACTTCCTATTTTTTAATTTAAATTGCTTGAAACATAAACAAAGGTGCTAAAGTTTCTTAATTAGCATGAAGAAGCATAATGGTGTAGATCAAGCAGCTTCTCGGCCTCCATTAGCTATTCCTATGAGAATTTTGGAGGATCTGCCTCAAATCCATTATTGTTGTGTTGCTTTTAATGGACCCTTTTTTGCCAATTCGCTTATCTTGAGGACGAGCTAATCAAATCCATAATTTTCATTGATATTTTCAATATTGATGAGTTCATCTTCATCAATTTTCTTATACCAGTATTTTTGGGTTGCTTTATGAATCTTTATTTTTCATTTGTTCTTTATTGACTATTGCTCGAGATGTTGAACCTATTCTTCACATATCAGTTTGAATAATTTTATTCATATTTTCTTAGTTTATCCTTTTCCTACCAGTTTTTTGACACTAACGCTATCTATCACTCTAATTGGTGCATTTTCTACCATACTTTGTACTTTTTTTTTAAGCGTAAAACAACCATACTTTGTACTTGTTCAAACGCTGAAGTCTATTTTTTTTCAGCTATATTATCTTTACTGTATCTTGTTTATCTTGACTGCTCTTCTAATATAATAATTCTTTACTTTATTATTCTTAACCTTGTCACACAACCATCTTAATGTTCTTATTTCCACCATATTTAATTATCAATAATTTTTTTTATTGCCCAACATTTGTATTCATAAAACGTAATCAACTTATAATAGTTTTATAAAATTTACAGTTAAGTTTTTATGATATCCACTTATCCCATGATACTTTATAGGCACTTCTTCATTTTAATCGCACAATTTTAACTCTAGAAATATGTTCTCATTTATATTCTTCTAATCCAAGATGCTTTAGACTTCGTTTGTGACGACTTTCTTCCTGCTTCTTAAAGAGGCTTTCTAGTCCAAAAATTAAAATTTTTGGACTAGAAAGCCGCCTTAAGAAGCATGAAGAAAACCGTCCCAAACGAAGCCTTAATCTATCTCATATAGGTAGTGCTTTGTTTTCTAAAAATATTTCATTTTATACAATCAATCATTGTTTTATTAATTCTAATTTCTTGATTATTTGAAATATTCTCTCCATTGTTTTAAATTTTCATTTATTTAAGTAGATGTCTCATCGATTAGAATTTTGTCATCTATGAAAAGCATATAATAATATATTTCACTTTGAATATTCTTTGTCAGTACTCTACAACCGATATAAATAGAAATTGACTTCATGTTGATATTTAATGTAATCTTACTATAATTGAAAGCTTTTTGGTCACTTTTTAATTACTTCTAATATTTATTAGTCTTTCATCATACATCTTTTTAATAACTTTAACACACTTGTTTTTCTTGATGCTTATCAAATTAATTCTTGTGATATTTGATTATACACCTTCTATAAATAGATAAATTCCATATGAAGATCCTTTCTTAGCTCTTTATATTTTTTTTTTCATTAATTCTCTTCACACTAAAATACCTTCTATAGCATATTTTTTAGGCTTGAAACCAAATTGATTATCTAAAACTAACTTAACATTTCTAAATTTCTGCTTAATTGTATTCCCACATAGTTTCAAAAAATGACTCTTAGAGTTTTATTCCGTTATAATTATCCTAGTCTTCTAATATTTCTTTTGTTATTAAATATTGATGTCAAATTGCTAATTATTTGACATGCTTTTGTTCTTCGAAGTTACATTGAAAAGATTTGTTAACGAAATCATTACAGAATCCCCACAACTCCCTAGATTTGGATCTAAAACTTTACCTTTATCTTCTTTAGATTAAGCTTCATTTCTACTTATTTTAATTAATATATAGTATAACTCATTATGCAATTCAAAAATACATTTTTCTCATAACTTTAATTTAATAATTTCTCAATAACATCTCTTTCATTCATTAATATCTCCATCTTAGCTAAGATCCTATTTTCTTCATTTCTAATACACTAACTTGATGAAAGTCTATAGATATTTTGTCTCTTATCTTAACTATTTTATAAATATCAGTCTCCTGTAGTACCAAGCCTACTGTCTAAGGGTACATTATGGGCGACTACAGTTGTCTTAAAGTTATGAATTTTTTTTAAAAAAAACATTTATGAGTATTATGGACTTTTTTTTCCTTTGACCCCATGTAGTGGGATAGATGCTTGTTTTAAAAAAACTTTAGCCTTTCAATGACCTTGTTAGGAGAGTAAATGTATTAGATCCGGTTTATATTAAGAATGGTAGAGGTAGATCTAAAAGGCTTTGGTAGAAAATATTAAAAATGACTTTTTTAATTAATTTTAAATGAGAATTTGGGACACAGTTAAAAAAAAGTATACTTGTAGTTGACCCCATGTAGTGGGATAAATGCTTGTTGTTGTTGTATCACAGTATAACAAATTATTTCATAAAATGCTATTATCTGCCACATAAATTTATAGAAAATAGGCAAAAGTTATAGCTCTACAAGATTGTGGTAGTTTTTTTAATACAAAGCTGTGAGAAATTGGCCTCAAATAGACCCTAAATCATTAAGAATTTAAACATTTGAATTGTTCACAATCCTCTTAATGTGAAACCGACAGAAATTGCAAGAAAATAATAAATTTATTGTAAGCTTGCTACTTTAAGATTAGTGAGTCACATGAATTAATTTTATGAGTTATCCATTGACTTTTTTCTTTGGCATGCAGTTACAATTGTAGGAGAACAAACCAACTTAAAATAATATCAGAAAATACAATAAAACTAAATACGTTGTAATAATATTCCATAGGTTAATATTTAGAGCTTTTCACCTAGAGTTTCTTTTCTCACTCACACTCTATCAGAGGCTTTAGCGGAAAGATATCTTCAGCACACTAAACGATGCCACCAAGAAAGTTATGACGTCGAAGGTCTTGATCCACGGGAAGGTAGCTGGAGGAGGAGGCGCATGTGGACGCCCGACAAGTTGCCACTGTCCGGATGGTCGTCGTTCATTGTCTCGGCGAGATGAAATAGTATGCAGCCTATGTAGTCTTCGACGGAATCTTCAAACTCCTAGTCGGGGTCAAAGAAGGGCGATTGAAGGATATCAATTTATCCCTGAGAATTGTACACAAATCCGTGGTCGACTTTAGGATCGGCCATCCATAAATATGGGAGTCTTCATTATTGTGAACCTTGGATTCTTTGAAGGCCGACGGCTTATGCAGGAGGGAGGGAGGAGTGGGGAGCCGGTGGCTTGGTGGGTTCGGATAGAGAAAGGGACAACTAGGGTTAGGGAGGGTGCT